CGGAAGGACGCATCGCCTGGGCCCGATGGTATCGCGTATTCAAGCTGGAACCTCCCCGCACCATAACCATCCTTCTCCATCTCTACCGTCCCCCACCCAGTGCAGCGCTTCGTGGCCCCCATTGGAAGCTCCGCCGAGCTCCCCAGCAGCACCGTCCGCATACGCCCCCCGTCCCCCCGCCACCCCCACCCAGCACAGCGTTTCGTAGCCCCACAAGGAGCTCCACCGAAGCCCACGGTGGCACCGTCCGCATGCCCCCCACCCCCCCCAGCGCATCGCTTCGTAGTCCCACTGGGAGGTTACCCGAATATGCGTCTCCCCCAAGCCAGTACAGCGCTTCATGGCCCCAGACGGAACTCATCCAAAAAGCCCCAATGGCACCGTCCGCGTGCTTTTCCCCCGCCCAGCACAGCTTTTCGTGGCCCCACTGGGGGCACCACCAAAGGCCCCAGTGGCACCGTCCGCACGCGCCTCCCCCATCCAGCGCAAATGTTTCGTGGCCAAATCGGGGGTTCCACCGAAGGTCCCAATGGCACCGTTCACATGCGCCCCCCCGCCGAGTGCGCCGTTTTGTGGCCCCACAGGGAGCCCCCCCGAAGCTCTTGGTGGCACCTGCCGCGTGCGTCTCCACCATCCAGTGCAGCGTGTCGTGGCTCCACATGGAGCCCCACCGAATGCTACGGTGGCACCGTCCGCACGCGTCTCCTCTATCCAGCGCAATGTTTCGTGGCCCAATCGGGGTTTCCACCGAAGGTCCCAACGGCACCGTTCGCATGCGCCCTCCCGCCGAGTACACCGTTTTGTAGCCCAACAGGGAACCTCACCGAAGCTGTTGCTGCACCGTCCGCGTGCGCCCCCACCATCCAGTGCAACGTCTCGTGGCCCCACAAGGAACTCCGTTTAAGGCCCCGGTGGCCGCAACTGCACGCATTGGCCCCATGCAGTACAGCGCTTCGTGGCCCCATCTGGGGCTCCACCGAAAGCCCCAATGGCAGCGGCCGAATGCTTCGTTCGCATTCGCACCCCAGGCCCATGTCGGTGCAGCCCTCACACGTTTCGTGGCCCCATAGGGAGTTCGACCTAAGGTCCCAATGGCACAGTTCGCATGCGCTCCACCACCACCACCACCACCACCACCACCACCACCACCACCGCCACCACCACCACCACCACCACCACCACCACCACCACCACCACCACCACGGCGGCACACCCCTCACGCGTTCCGTGTCCGCATAAGGGGGCTCGGTGACCACCACGCGGTGTTCACAACTGCATATGGCTAGGCCTTTCGCCCGGATCATTTTACGATGGGTCGTGGCCTCCAGAGGGAGAGGGATGCATGCAACATCCTATCACTAGGGCGAGGCCCTGCTGGGCAGCCCTGGTCCGAGGCCGAGGCCCTGCTGGGCCGAGGCCCTGCCAGGCAGCCCTTGGCACTCCCCCGCGCCTCAGCGTGCGCAGGGGGCACGGCGGCGGATCCGGGCTGCTGCTGGGCCTCCTGCTCACGGTGGTTTGGAAGCTGGCCCACGCAGCGCTGCGCCGGCGCGACAAGGAGTTCGACTTCTTCCTGTGCCACCACAAGCTCGCAGCCGGCAGCTGCGCCCGGCTGCTCAAGGTGCAGCTCTGCAGCCGCGGGGGCAGCAGGCGGAGGGTGTTCCTGGACTGCGACGACCTGAAAGATTTGGAGACGCTCTTCGACACCGTGGCAAACCGAGTGCAGGTGTTCGTCACCCTGTGCACGAAGGAGTTATTTCTACGCCCCTGGTGCATGGGAGAGGTGATCACTGCTCACCACTGCAAGCTCCAAACTGTGAAACTAGTTTTCCCAGATTTCACCGAGCCAGACGAGGCGTATATTTTTGAGTACGAGGATAGTTCGAAGGACCTCAGCGTGTTGACTGGATACGGTTATTCAATCGAGGATGTGAGAGTTGCGTTGCGCTGGGTGCCTCAGATTACCAGCTATAGCATTCCGTCTGCGATCACCAGTGTTAGCATGGAAGAAATCGCGGATCGGCTCGAAGATTGCATTATTTCCCATTCGCCCAGCGGCACAAGAGGTTCTCCCAGGGGCCCTAGTGGCAGAGCCAACAGGGCTTCCATTGGGGGAAATTCTACTTGGATCATCCACGATGAGAGCAGCCTCGAGGCAGGGGCTACAGCCGCAGTCATGGCCCATTTGTTGATGGTAAGTTTTGTCCACATCCCTTTCGAAATTCCACAAGTGCTTCTTGGTGGGCGGGACGTTCCTGATAGCGCAACGAAGCTGATCATATTGTGCACAAGCAACGTGCTGCAGCAGCCTTCTATACTGAAGCATTTCGAGAGAGGAATCGATCTTGACGTGTGTTTCTACCCCGTAATTGGAGATGAAGGCTTCCGCTTTCCCGGCGCGTCGTTCAAGAAAGACACCATGAAGTTGGCAGCTGCCATCCTCGACGACCCAGACGAAGTGCTGTCAGCAGTCTTGGCGATGTTCAAGGCCATCGCAGGGAGCTTCCTGGCGAGCTCCAGCTCCGCGACCGTGCTGGCAAACCAGGCCGCCTGCCGCCACCGCTGCGCCGCCGTCGCCGTCCGACAAACATCCATTTAAACCAGTTTCCAGACACTTCCCGTTACCAGCCTGAAGCAGATCTCCATCCTTACGACCGGAACTTTTTTTCTCAGTGCAAGTCGTGAGGTTTCTCCCAGCTGTTGGGAGTGCACCCTTAAAATTGCAATCGCCTTGCGTTTGCCAGTCTTGAGGGATATATGATCGTTCTTGTAATACTCCTGGGGGTAACGCGCGCTACCTCCTCCCAGACCCCACCCGTAACACAAGCCGGGCACAATCGTGTGAATCCTTGCAATTTCCAAAGGATGCCGTAAGGAGTACACAGGCGCTCCGAGGCACGCAGGCATCGACGTGCACGCAGGGCCATTGCACTGCTGTGTACACGGGCGCTATGTGCAGGTGCCTACTGTAGTGTGCACAGGCGTTGCGGTGTTCACAGGCGTTGTGGTGCACGGAAGCATTGTAGTGTACACAGGCGCCGTGGAGCACGCGGCTGCTGTGGTGTACGCAGGCGTTGTGGGTTACGCAAGCGCTGGGGCGCAGCATAATGGTATGAGAAGAGGAGGAGGTGGCGGAGGCGGAGGCGGAGGCGGAGGAGGAGGAGGCGGAGGCGGAGGCGGAGGAGGAGGAGGAGAAGAAGAAGGAGGAGGAGGAGGAGGAGGAGGACGCGGAGGAGGAGTAGGAGGTTGCAAGGGGGAGGGAGCCGGATACCAGCACACTCGCAGCTTGGTGGCCCCACCGGGGGGGGGGCCCGCGGGCTCTCGTTGTCGTCATCTGCTGTCCCTGTCCTCAGACAGCTCGCTGGCGCAGAGAGAGCGCGGCGGCGACCCCAGCGCGGGCGTTCAACGTTGCGACGCGCACGGGGGAGGTCCTTCGGGCTCCAGGATTCTAAAAAAACGAGCCCGCGGTGCGAAATCATGGTGCAATCTGGGGCCGAGAATTTCTCATTGCGCAGACCGTTCAAGATTGAACGATCCACGTGGTATCAGAAGCCAACTTCAAGGGCGTCGCGACACGGACCTTCCTTACAGCCGACGCCCCACGTTTTCCTGCCTTCCCCACCTCCAGCCTCTCCTCACTTCCTCTCCAACCTCCTCCCAAATCCCCCCGCCTCTCCCCACCTCTACCCACGTCTGTCCGAGTCCGAGTTCTCCCACCTCCCACGTCATCCCGAGTCCTGCCACAGGCGACTAGGTGCTGTGGTGCGCGCGGTTGCTGTGGTGTACGGGGGCACTCTGGGCGGCGCTGTGTTGCATGTAGGCATTGGGCAAATTCTCGTGCACACAGGGACTGGCACGCAGGCGTTGGGCACTGTCGTGTACCCAGGGCTTGTGGTGCACAGGCGATTGATGTGTTGGTGGTTCAGGCTCACCCTGGCGGGTGGACGCCGCGGCCGCCGTTGCCGTTACCCCCGCCCGCGCCCCCCTTCTCCGGGGGTAACACGCGTTAGCCCCCCAATGGATACAAGAACGATGATGAGGGAGCTTGGCATCGCTCGGACGTGTGTGTGTTTTTTTTTCTCTCGGCGAGGACCATCGAGGAGCATCCTTGATCATTTGGCGAAAAAACCACGCACGACACCGAAAAAAACAAAGGGAATGGACGTCCGAGCGATGGCGAGGGAGATGTTCGAACCTGGTTGCGGCGGGCTCATGTCGTGTCGACCCCCGCGTGGGTTTCCGCTGCGCGGCGTCCGCACGGGGGCCTTGGGCATCTCGCTGCTCGACGGCCAGGACGCGCAGGCCCCCGCCCCTTGGCATCGCTCGGACGCGTGCGTTTTTTTCTCGGCGAGGACCATCGAGGAGCATCCTTGATCATTTGGCGAAAAAACCACGCACGAAACCGAAACAAAACACAAGGAATGGACGTCCGAGCGATGCCCAGGCCCCGCTTGCCTCGTCCCGCGCTGCCGGTGGTGCCCATGAGTGGTCGTGGGCCACGTGGAGGTGCCAGCCGGTACAGGGTGGGTCGCCGAGGCGAGCGGCTGTGGCGATGAATCTCGGCTCCGCGTCGGGCGGCCCGCCCCTTCGCTCGCCCTGCCACATGCAGTGCGTCGACAACTTTGCCAACATCGGCCAGGACGCCCGCGGGGCGCGCAGCAGCGTGACCAGGGCCACGGGCGAGTTATAGCGACGCGGGCTCATCGCGACCAGGGGGGCTCACTTCGGCGACGAGGATGGCGAGTGCAGCGCGCGGGGCCGGTCGCTCCTTGCTGACGGCCGTTTTTCATCATCTGCATCGCGGCTGCGGCGCGCGCGGCTCGCGGCGGGGGGCCGGGCCCGCGGCCGCGCGTGTGGCCGCGATCTCGAGAGGGCCCTCGGCCACAAGGTCTTCGTCGCTCTCGCGCGCCGAAAGGGGTTTCCGCTTCCGCTTCCGCTTCCGCGTTTCCCAATCGCGCTTCCGCTTCGCCCAGAAGCGCTCATTACCAGGCGGAGCCCCCGCCTTGGGGCCAGGTTGAGCACGAGCTCATGGACAGGGCTGGCGTCACTCTTTTGGTGTAGCGTGACCTCCGATCGCAGTGGCCCCCTCCTGTTGGTTGCGCGGACGCCTCCCTTCGGGGGTTCGGCGCTTGCGAAGCCGCGCGGGAGGTGGGCGCCGTGCGCGAGGTGGGTCGCCATGCGGAGAGGCGGCGTCGACGGGCTGTGCGCTTGCCCCAATCATCCACGCGCCCTCGCCCCCGACCTCGCGGCCGAGGGGTCGGCGCCGCCGTGCGCGGCCAGCCGGCGCCCTGGAGGTTCCGAGGAGCGCGGTGGAAAATAATCCGTGGAGCATCGCTGGAGGGCCAAGGCGGGGCCGTCTTGCAGGCCGTTCTGCGCCATGTCCGACGCGCTTTGCGCGCTGTGCGTAATCGTGGGGAGCAGCCCTTGTTCTTGGGGCGATTCGCCGGCGTTGGTTTCGGCCGCGAGCAGGACGAGAGCACGCAGTCGCGCTTTGCTGCGCATTCTGCGCGAGATCGGCGGCCTCGCTTTGGCCATTGATTCGGCTTTCACCCTCTGACGGAGTCCTCAACATGTCCCCCGACGGCGCAGGATTTGCAACATGGCATCGGTGAAGGTGCCGAAGTGCTTGAAATTCGCCATCGGCCCAGGCACCGCGCCACCATCGACCGCGGCCCGACCCAGGACTCGCGCCAGGGCGGCGAGGGTCAGGGCCTGGTCCAGGGCGAGCTCGACAGATCTACCTCGCGCGTTTTCCCAGCTCGGTCAACGCCAGACCTGATCGAACTGCGCGATCGCGGCGATGGCGCGGAGTGGCCCTCGGCATGCCAAGGCGGGGCCACGCGACGACCTGCCTCTGTCCAAACAGGCGGCCAAGGGGCGCTGCAACCTCGCGCCCGCCAAGGGCCTCACGGCGCTGCGCGTCGAGGCAGTCGCCGAGATCATCAACTACGCGGGGCGATCGCGGCGCGGCTGCTCATCCAGATCCACGGGCCTGAGGGCCATGGGCGCGATGCCACCGGTGCCTGCCCGACGCACGTCGCTTCTTGTCCGCGACGCCGGGCGCGCAGGAGGTCGGGGGCGGCGATGACAGGGGCGTTCGACGCGGCGGCGAGGCTCGACCTCGAGCGCCAGCTGGGGCCCGGGGCGGCGCCAGCTGGGGCCTGGGACGGCGCGGCCGCAGATGAACGCCTCGCGGCGCCGTGAGGGCGCCGCCGAGAACGTCTTGCCGTTCGCGATCAGCCAGACGGAGGCGGCCGTCGCGCTGCGGGGCGCAGGCGCCGGGGCTCAGGAAGCTGGGCGCGCGTCACTTGCGCGCGTTGCGCCGCTCGGGGCCCAGCCGCGACTGCGTCGTTAACCTGCGCGGCCCGGAGCGCGCCCCCCGCCGGGCGCGCTCGAAGTCGCGGAGCTCCGTCAGGCGGCGCGCGAGAGGCGGCGCCCTGACCGAGCGGCTCCGCATCGCGGGCGCCGCGCAGCGCAGCCGCGCCGAGGTGCGCCGCCGCAGCCTCTGCGCATCCAGGGGCGGCCTGCGCGCGTTATTGGCGCCAATCTGCCCGGGCCGCCAGCGATCCTCAATTTGTTTTCGGGCCGCGGCGGCTTCGGCAAGGCGCGCGCCCGACTTGGCATGCCGGCGCCGCTGCGGCGCGCAAGCCCGGGCGAGTGGCATAATCTCACAGTTGGGCAGCAGGTCCAAGATCCTGCTTTGGGCGAGGAGTGGTCGCAAGAGGTGCTGGCGCCCCATGCGGCGCTTTGACCCGGCGCCGCGGCCGCGTGCATGGGGCCCTGCCCGTGCGCGCTGACAATTGTATTTGTTGCCTTCCTAACTTCCAACCTCGCTTGCAAGCCTTCGCTGATGTCCTGAATGCTGTGAAAGATTTGTCGCGACCGCGCCCTGCGTCAGCATCTTCCCGCGCGCCCCCTGGATTGCCGAGAACCTCGTGACTTCCTGGATCTGGCTCCTGCCCCGCTCCGAAGCCTTATTAGTCCGTCGCGGGTCGATGGTTATCCCGGTCGCGTTCATGCGCCAGCGGGGCGCCCCGTGGAAGATGGGCGCGGGCCGCCTAGCGCCCGACGTTGACGCGCGCCGTTTTTCAGGGGGGCCTGTCTGCGGGGGCCCAGGCGAGATCTGCCCCCGAACGGGCTTCTCTCCAGGGGTGGTTTTCAAACTGGTAGAGGGGCCGTATATCCTGGGCTGTTTTGTTCGGCCTGCCGGGTTATCCCACGGCTCCGGAGTCAAGGCGACTTGTCGCGTCATCGAGAGTGTCCTGTCTAGGGGAGACTGCCTCGCAATTAGGGCTCGGTGTTGGCCGTTTTCGGCGTCGGCAGCTTGCTTTGCGCATTGTGCGCGCATTTGTGCGTTTGTATATCCGAGCGCTTCGGGCCCGCGTGGGCATTGTTGGTGCTTGGTGCCGTTCTCGAAGGCCGGTCCGCTCGGCGCTGTCTCTGACACTAGCTGGCAGAAGCGATTGCTGAGGATTGCTTCCGCGGGTTTGCGATGCACGCGCGTGCCCGCCGCCGCTTTCTGGGCGCTCGAGCCCCTCCATCCCC